TGATAATTGATTCTTTCCACTTATCCGGCAGAACTCCTTCTTCCCATATTTTATTATATAATTCTAATAATATCACTTTACTCTTTTCACTCAGATTTTTTAGCATAATATAATTAATCCGATCTTCCCCAGATGTTGAATTTTTTGTGTTCTTTAATGCTTTATTTAATTCTATCATTGAAAATTTCATATTTATAGTATCATTATCCTCTCTATCCTCATGTATCCTTTCATTATACCTTTTTAGTGTCATTTCCCTTCCTTCTTTCTCTTTATTACTAAGATTTCCATTGCTATGTACTTTAGCTAAGACTTTTACTAACAATTCAGACTTATCTTTATCAATAATCATATTGTCATTACTTTTAAGTATCGGAAAATCATGTTCTTTTGATTTTCCTGATATTTTCTTGATTGTGTCCCACACTCTGTCTAACGCAGTGGTTTTTCCTAACGATTCACAATACTTACTCCAATAACTCTTTTTTGCATTTCTTATCTTCCTTCTGACTTCTGCTTGTTTTCTCTTATAGTTTATTAAATTTTGGAAACAAATAGCTTTCTTAAGTGTTTTAAAAGCCTTATTCCTTAATTTAACCGCCATCGAACATTCTGGGTTCCACCAAGGAACTATCTTCTTCTTCTTAAACCCTTTACTTTTTAGTATTACTTCTTTTGCCATATCAAAAATACTCTTACTGACTTCTAGATTTAAATCATTTATTGGTTTATTTATATCTATACTTATCAACCTATCTTCACTCATAACTTTATATTTTTCCCAATTAGTGTCTCTAAACCTCCATCTCCCTTGACTATTTACCTGTCCTTCTACCATGTCTATTTCAACCTCAATAAATATTGGATAATGATCACTTCCTATTGTACTATTTTTATATATTTTCCAATTACAACTATCTGCCACACATGGGGATACCAGAGTGATATCAATAGCAGATTCCTTACCATTTATCAGGTCCAACCGAGTTCCTTCCCCATTATTTAACACGACCAATTCTTTTTCTTCAATAATTCCTTCTAAAATCCCCCATTATAATCATCTTTCTCACCCCATAAAGTGCTATGTGCATTAAAGTCCCCACACCAAATTAACTTTTCTCCCCAATGCCGAGAAATGTTTTCTATTTTTAATTTATCTATTTTCTTACAAGGGTTATAATAATTTTTTTATTATTAAAGTTTTTATTATTTTTTCAGAACACAAATACAAATATTCAACCCTTCCCGATCCCACCTCATAACCCCACATTGAGAACTTAAAAGGCAAACAAACAAACAAAAAAAAGGCATCCAGGTCTGCACACATCAAATCAATAAAATTTTCAGGGAAAATTGACATAAAGGCATCCTCGGTATGAGCATAGTCAACCCTACCAACCAAAGGTTTATAAGAAGTAATATTTTCACAACACCAGATTCTCAAAGGGGTTTACTTGACCCGACATTGCAAGAAAGAAAGTTGTTCCAGGATTTCTTAAAGTTTTCTAAATCATCATTCAGCTTAGCCAGCATTCGTTCATATGACACTATTTCAAGCATCAATCCCAACCAACCTTTGATATTTGGGGCAGTCAGTGATTTCCATTGTCTGAGGACAATTCTGGCAGCCGTCACAGTCCCCACCTGTACCACCATGTTTTCTATATTAGAAGTTTGTTTGAAGTGTTAGGTATCACTGTTTGATCCCCAGTAAGCATAATCTTGGTGACATGGGTATTTCGGGTTATAATAATTTATCATTTTTATACTTCCATGCTTTGTCCACACTTTAACCCCATTAATCTCCAGTTCCGTGTTTTTGTAATTTGATAAATTTGATTGTTTCTTTTATAAATATGGCACATCCTCCTCCATTTCCATTAATAGGGTTAGGGTTAAACTAATCCATAATGATCACTTCCTATTGTACTATCCATTAATGTCCATTAATGTTAAACTGTAACGTTGGTTTCAACCAAGTTTCTTGGATACATATATAATATCTGGTTTCTCATTCAATCTATTAATAAAACCTTTAAACTGCTGACCATTAGCTATTAGACTTCTAGCATTCCATTGCAATATTAGAATTATATAACTATTTGATTTGCCTCACTTTCTCCTGACCCTCTCCTTGTCTGAGCTCATCTTGAATTCTCTCCCATGACAGATCTTTAACACTAAAGAATCTTGCTGCTGCTTTTACTGTAATTTTTATTTTTTCAGTCTTAGTTCTCGCCTGTTCGGAACAGTTTATAATATAAGCCAGGAACGGGATCAGTTTTTCTAGCGTGATAATGTTTTGATTTTTATCTGCCTCATTCTTCTTTTCTACTTTTGCTCTCTGACTAATCCCTGTACTTTTCACCTCCTTTACTGCTTCTGCATAAGACATTCTCTTCTCTGTTTTCAGTTTTTTAATTTCCGCCGCTTCTTTCTTCACCAAACATCCTGCATATGCTGCGGTATGATCCCCTCCACAGTTACAACATTTTATCGGATTCTCTCCACACTCCTCATAAGCGTGTTCCCCTCCACACCTACCACATCTTTGTTTTCCATTGCATACATTTACTGTATGGCCATATCTCTGGCATTTGTAACATCTCATAGGTGGTGGGATATAATTTCTTACATTGAGGCTCAAGTATCCAATCATTACCTTATCCGGTTTTACTTTATCCTTGAATTCTAATAGCACAGAAGTGCTATCCATTCTCTCCCCATTTCTAAAGGCCTGCAGTCATTTGATACCTAAAACCTCCATTTATTACTTTCTTTAACTCGTCCAAGTTTTCTCCTAAAGGAATTCCTGAAATCACCCCTTTTGCTTCTCTTTCCTCTCCATTACTTCTCTTTTGCAGATTGTTTGTATTTTTAGTGCTTTATTCTTTTGTTCAGCATTCCTATAGATAATCAGAAGGCTTCCATCTCTTAAAACTTTAGCTAATTCCACATCTCCAATAATTTTTTTAAATCCATTTGATAGTGTGATTGGGCTCACCCCAATCAAGTCCTGTCCAGTTCTGAACTTCAAAATCACTTTAAAGTCTCCATCATTATTTTCTTTCTTGTCTCAATGTTTTCCTCTTCATCCTCCATCATCCTTTTGCCTGTATTCATCCTTCCCTCCTCCCCCTTTCTTACTTTCTACCAGAGACCAACCTATTTCCATACTATCTTCATCTGAACACCCTCCACTACTACCAGCCATCTAGATCCACTCACAGCCCAGATTGTGCCAAGAAACCTCTCCTCCACTTCCAGCTTCCCGTGACCAAACCACCTTCGTCAGAGTTGCTGCATGCAGGTGTTTCCAATCAGCTTCAGGTGGCACCAGTCAAGTTCTCTACCTCACTTCCTCTTACAAATATGAGCCCTTCAAAATAATGAGCCCTTCAAGATAAAATATGGTGAAGATTACTTTTTTAAAGAACCTGTAAGTACAGTTTTCAGTTAACAGTTATTAATAACAATTTTAACATATTTAAGCAAACATGCTTGACATTTTCTAAATTATCACTCCTATGAACTTAACTCATTACAAACACCTTGAGTTTTGTACTGGGTTACACCAAACCTCTGTGACATCAGAGCCAATAAAAGTCCAACAGGTTCGGTCGGTTTGTGGGTCCAGGAGCAACACGGCACCAGAACCGGTTCTGATGCAGTAGAACCAGTTCCACTGAACGCCCCGGTTCCAGAAGAAGATCCAGTAAAACCCCAACATCCCATAATGAATTCAGAATAATAACATGATGCAGGAGCAGCAGTGATAGTTTGTGGATCATTTTAAGCAATAAAAGAAGAAAAGGAGCAGCTGCTCTATGATTCATCATAGTTAACATTTTAACTGAATAAACATAAACACATATAATAAACATTTCCACATATCTTAGGTCACCGCGCGTTCTGATTGGCTCCTGTCACATTGACCAGGCTGCGTTCAGTCAGGGAAAATCCCACAAGACGATGTTGACACCATGCACTGCAGGACGTTGTAAGATGGTGGCAAAGGGAAAATTGGGGCATAAAAAGGCTTTAGCAGAAACACCGACATGCAGAAGTTTGATTTGATGGCCCCCCCCCCCCCCCCTCATAAACTCCCCCAAACCGCCGGGCCGCAGAGAGATTGCCAAGTCTTGACCGGTCCATGGTGATAGAAAGGTTGGCCACTCCTGCTTTAGACTATTTCAAACATTCAAACGTCTAAATGTTGAGCTCATCAGCTGTGCTGCAGCTTTTGGTTTTTACAAAATATTTTTATCAGTTTTTATGCTCCATTGAAATCAATTGAAAACTCTGAACTGTTTCCTATGAAAAATCCAATCAGCCAGTAATATATTTGAAACTTTGAACATTTCTTCAGTGGATTTAGTGGGTTTGTAAAGATGGTTACAAAGTCGGCCTTCTATCACCTGAAGAACGTCTCCAGGATTAGAGGACTAATGTCTCAGCCAGATCTAGAGAAACTCATCCATGCGTTTATCTTTAGTCACATTGATTATTGTAACAGCGTCTTCACAGGCCTGTCCAACAAATCAATCCTCCAGCTGCAGCTGATCCAGAAGCTGCTGCTCCTGTTCTCACTAAAACCAGGAAGATAGAGACATAACAGCAGTTTTAAAGTCTCTCCACTGGCTCCCTGTAGCTCAAAGAATAGATTTTAAAATACTGTTGTTAGTTTATAAATCACTGAACGGTTTAGCACCACAATACATCAAAGATCTGCTGTTGTTGTATCAACCTTCCAGACTCTCAGGTTCTGGTTCTGGTTCTGATCTTGTAACCCGGTTAGGGTTGGGTTAATCCTAACCGGGTTACACTCTGCATCCAGAACCAGAACCTTCAGTTGTTCTGAGAACATGAATCAGAACCACAGAGAATCTCAATCGGGTCAAACTGAGGATCAGATGATGACATCACTGTTATTGTATTTAAATTGGGTTTATGTGAATGAGCTGAATGAACTAGAACTGCTTCATTTCTTCTCCAATCAGACTTGGTGGCTGTAAACTCTCTGATGCTGAGTTTGACGTTGTGGCTTCAGCTCTGAAATCCAACCAACATCTGACTGAACTGGAAATAAGACAAGAACTGGAAACGTCTGCAGTGGAGCGTCTGTGTGAAGGCCTGAAGAGTTCAGCCAGTAATCTGGAGATTCTGAGGTTCGTTTTCTCTGTTAATCCAAGAAAATCATTCAATCATTGGTTTAATTTTGTTCTAATGTAGTTTCTGTATGAATTAGACAACATTCTGCTTTTACAGTGTAGTTTCTGAAATATTTTATCCTGAAGGTGAATTATTTTCTTGTTTCAGATTATTGAATATTGAATCATCAGTTCATAATGTTTTAAACTGATGAGCAAAAACAAGGGAAATAATGTAAATGAATGAGTTTAGTTTTTAGTTTGGAGGAGATTCAGACGCTCAGACTGATTTATTTCTATTTCTGACTCACATCTTTACATCCAGAGTGAAATGGATGATCTCTGGTGTTTTATAACAAGACAAAGTTTCTGCAACGGCTTCATGTGAACAAAATGATGATGAACGTCTGCAACATGTGTGATCATGCAAACAGGCTTCGTTTATCTCCAGTGGTTTTTATTTCCCAGTAGATCCACAGGAAGATCTTTATGAAACATCAACATGGGTCAAAGGTCAACACTGTGACCTCCACATCAAGGACTGAGGCCTCAGAGGCGAAGGCTCTATAATAAACTGTTATAGAGAGTCAGTCTATAACAGACTGACTCTCTATAACAGTCAGTCTGTTTTGGAAATTAAATATGAAAATGAAAAATAGCTTGTGGAGGAAATTCTTGATGAATGAGAGGAAACTGTTTCAGTAAGTTGGAGGAAAGTCAGTTTTTGTCCAAAAAGTCTTTGCAGGCAAACAGCATCTAAAGATCCTGAGAGTCGGAGAAGCTGAGCCTCAATATGAGTTCAGGAAAAACTCAGCAGTTTTTCTTCTGCTCTGACTTTTGGCTGCATCTGGTTTCACTGCTGCATTAAAGGAAATTAAACCGACATCAACCTGAATGAGAAATCACACATATGCATCAGCTTCAACCTGCTTTTATATTAAATATATTTACAGCCATTTTTAAAACTTCAGTTTAATATTTCTAGTCAGTTTTTGGAGCCGTTTTAGAAGATCCACAGAACCACTGAAACGTTACAACACGTCTTAATAACACGCTAGTTTTATCGCTATAAACCAGTTTCACTGGATCAAATATTAAACATCAGTTTATCATGTTTCACTTTTACATTCAGTGAAATTAATTTTCTACATTTTATTATTAATTTGTTGATATTTCAGTTTTAACCTGCATCCTGCTGGTTCAGCTCACATCTTTTATTCTTTATCCAGGTTGAAGGACTGCAGGTTGTCAGAGATCAGCTGTTCTTCTCTGGCCTCAGCTCTGCAGTCCAACCAACATCTGACTGAAGTGGAAATAAATGAGATCAACATGGAGGGAACCGTTTCAGACTCTGGGATGAAGCGTCTGTGTGAGATCCTGCAGAGTTCAGTCACTAAAGTCAAGACTTTAAGGTTTGTTTTCTCTGTCAAAATGATTCATTGATACGTTAACAATTATTTTCATTCATCATTTATTTGCCTAACAAACATCCTGATGTCAAAAAGGCAGAATATTATTTCTCAAACATTTTTCCATTAAAATAAATTATTTTCATATTTCAGGATGTCAGAATATTGAACTTTAGTTGAAATGTTTTGCTGCTGAAGCAAATGGAGGTAAATAAATGAATGAAAGGTGGAGACGCTCCAGTCTGGTGTGGGACAGATTCAGATGAAGCACTTTAATATTTCCTTCAATATCAATATGATCAATATTGGTACCGATGTGATCAATACTGGGATGGATCCGCCCACCTCTAGTGAGAAGCAGAAACGTGACAAAGAGAGATTAATGCTGTCTAACACTGAAGACAATGAAGGAAATTTACTGAGAATAACGGAGCAAACCGACGGTAAAATGCTTCCTGATGCTAAGCTTAGCTAGCTTAGCAAGATTAGAGCTGTTAGCATGCTCCATTGAGGTAGCAGCTAATGCTACATCCAGTGTTAGCATTACTGCATGGTGAAGTGTTTGTTGTCTCCATACCAGAGGAAAGTGACTTCTGTGAATAAGTTAGCAGGAGCTAAAAGCTGCTAATGTTTAGAGCGGCTGGAAGAGCAGACGGTGGCCAGCTTCACACTGAGGATGATGATGGTGATTCTTCATCCTCATCATTGATCAGGGAACCAAAGCCAACCTGATTGGATGCAGGGAAACCACAGCCTGGTTTTCATCGGGCTGCTGCTGCTCATGTTTACAAGATGATTCATTAATGAACCGGAAATCTTTCATTCATTCCCAAAACTCGGATTATTCATTATTCTGGTCCATTCAGACCTTCGATCAAAACCGAGGGCCGACATGAGGCTGGTGCTGCTCTACATATAACACTGTAAAAAGGAGTTTAGATTAAAAAGGTTTTATTTACATTAACATGTTATTTTAAATGTTCCTCAATGATCAATAGTTTGACTGATGTTAGCCTTTGCTGACCCAAAATGCCAACCAGTTTGTTTCTTTTATGGATTTGAATTATTTAGTGCTAATGTGTCACTTAGATTAAAGTTTAATTCAGGTCAATTTCACCAGGATTTTTATTTCTTTCTTCCTTTGATTTCAAGGTTTTTGGGCCAAACACTGTGTCCTTCCTTCACCATGTGTCCCAGTTCCATCCCAGTTCCATCCCAGTTTCATCCCAGTTCCATCCCAGTTCATTCCCAGTTCATTCCCAGTTCAATCCCAGTTCCATCCCAGTTCAATCCCAGTTCCATCCCAGTTCCATCCCAGTTCCATCCCAGTTCCATCCCAATTCATTCCCAGTTCCATCCCAGTTCAATCCCAGTTGCATCCCAGTTCAATCCCAGTTCCATCCCAGTTCAATCCCAGTTCCATCCCAGTTCCATCCCAGTTCCATCCCAGTTCCATCCCAGTTCCATCCCATTTCAATCCCAGTTCCATCCCAGTTCCATCCCAGTTCCATCCCAGTTCCATCCCAGTTCCATCCCAGTTCAATCCCAGTTCCATCCCAGTTCCATCCCAGTTCAATCCCAGTTCCATCCCTGTTCCATCCCATTTCAATCCCAGTTCAATCCCAGTTCCATCCCAGTTCAATCCCTGTTCCATCCCATTTCAATCCCAGTTCCATCCCAGTTCCATCCCTGTTCCATCCCATTTCAATCCCAGTTCAATCCCAGTTCCATCCCAGTTCAATCCCAATTCCATCCCAGTTCCATCCCAATTCATTCCCAGTTCCATCCCAGTTCCATCCCAGTTGCTCCCATTAAGATCACATTTAATAGGAAGCTGAACTTTATGTGCACCAACAGTTTTCAGGAAGAAACTTTCCAGACTGAAATTCTCCATCTGTGGAAAACAGACTTTATATTTTGTGCTGATTGATGTTCAGCCAGTCCTGCTATCATGGATCAATACCAATATTGATCGATTCATTGAAGTCATTCAGATCAAACTGTTTCTGTAAATCAGAATCTGACCTCTGACCTCCAGCTGCACATCGAAGGCATTCCCATCTAACTTTCCTCAGGCTCTGATGTCACTTTGGTTCTGAAAGTCCATTTTAATTCCCGACCAGAACCACTGAAACATTCTAACAACACGTCATAATAACATGTTCTGGTTCTGCTGGTTTGGACTCTATAAACCAGTTTTACTGGATCAAATATTAAACATCAGTTCATCATGTTTCACTTTAACATTCAGTGAAATTAATTTTCTACATTTTATTATTAATTTCTTGATATTTCAGTTTTAACCTGCATCCTGCTGGTTCAGCTCACATCTTTTATTCTTTATCCAGGTTGAAGAAATGCAGTTTGTCAGAGATCAGCTGTTCTTCTCTGGCCTCAGCTCTGCAGTCCAACCAACATCTGACTGAAGTGGAAATAAATGAGATCAACATGGAGGGAACCGTTTCAGACTCTGGGATGAAGCGTCTGTGTGAGATCCTGCAGAGTTCAGTCACTAAAGTCAAGACTTTAAGGTTTGTTTTCTCTGTCAAAATGATTCATTGATACGTTAACAATTATTTTCATTCATCATTTATTTGCCTAACAAACATCCTGATGTCAAAAAGGCAGAATATTATTTCTCAAACATTTTTCCATTAAAATAAATTATTTTCATATTTCAGGCTGTCAGAATATTGAACTTTAGTTGAAATGTTTTGCTGCTGAAGCAAATGGAGGTAAATAAATGAATGAAAGGTGGAGACGCTCCAGTCTGGTGTGGGACAGATTCAGATGAAGCACTTTAATATTTCCTTCAATATCAATATGATCAATATTGGTACCGATGTGATCAATACTGGGATGGATCCGCCCACCTCTAGTGAGAAGCAGAAATGTGACAAAGAGAGATTAATGCTGTCTAACACTGAAGACAATGAAGGAAATTTACTGAGAATAACGGAGCAAACCGACGGTAAAATGCTTCCTGATGCTAAGCTAAGCTAGCTTAGCAAGATTAGAGCTGTTAGCATGCTCCATTGAGGTAGCAGCTAATGCTACATCCAGTGTTAGCATTACTGCATGGTGAAGTGTTTGTTGTCTCCATACCAGAGGAAAGTGACTTCTGTGAATAAGTTAGCAGGAGCTAAAAGCTGCTAATGTTTAGAGCGGCTGGAAGAGCAGACGGTGGCCAGCTTCACACTGAGGATGATGATGGTGATTCTTCATCGTCATCATTGATCAGGGAACCAAAGCCAACCTGATTGGATGCAGGGAAACCACAGCCTGGTTTTCATCGGGCTGCTGCTGCTCATGTTTACAAGATGATTCATTAATGAACCGGAAATCTTTCATTCATTCCCAAAACTCGGATTATTCATTATTCTGGTCCATTCAGACCTTCGATCAAAACCGAGGGCCGACATGAGGCTGGTGCTGCTCTACATATAACACTGTAAAAAGGAGTTTAGATTAAAAAGGTTTTATTTACATTAACATGTTATTTTAAATGTTCCTCAATGATCAATACAGTTTGACTGATGTTAGCCTTTGCTGACCCAAAATGCCAACCAGTTTGTTTCATTTATGGATTTGAATTATTTAGTGCTAATGTGTCACTTAGATTAAAGTTTAATTCAGGTCAATTTCACCAGGATTTTTATTTCTTTCTTCCTTTGATTTCAAGGTTTTTGGGCCAAACACTGTGTCCTTCCTTCACCATGTGTCCCAGTTCCATCCCAGTTCCATCCCAGTTTCATCCAGTTCAATCCCAGTTCCATCCCAGTTCCATCCCAGTTCCATCCCAGTTCAATCCCAGTTCAATCCCAGTTCAATCCCAGTTCCATCCCAGTTCCATCCCAGTTCAATCCCAGTTCCATCCCAGTTCCATCCCAGTTCCATCCCAGTTCCATCCCAGTTCAATCCCAGTTCCATCCCAGTTCCATCCCAGTTCCATCCCAGTTCCATCCCAATTCATTCCCAGTTCCATCCCAGTTCCATCCCAGTTCCATCCCAGTTGCTCCCATTAAGATCACATTTAATAGGAAGCTGAACTTTATGTGCACCAACAGTTTTCAGGAAGAAACTTTCCAGACTGAAATTCTCCATCTGTGGAAAACAGACTTTATATTTTGTGCTGATTGATGTTCAGCCAGTCCTGCTATCATGGATCAATACCAATATTGATCGATTCATTGAAGTCATTCAGATCAAACTGTTTCTGTAAATCAGAATCTGACCTCTGACCTCCAGCTGCACATCAAAGGCATTCCCATCTAACTTTCCTCAGGCTCTGATGTCACTTTGGTTCTGAAAGTCCATTTTAATTCCCGACCAGAACCACTGAAATATTCTAACAACACGTCATAATAACATGTTCTGGTTCTGCTGGTTTGGACTCTATAAACCAGTTTTACTGGATCAAATATTAAACATCAGTTCATCATGTTTCACTTTTACATTCAGTGAAATTAATTTTCTACATTTTATTATTAATTTGTTGATATTTCAGTTTTAACCTGCATCCTGTTGGTTCAGCTCACATCTTTTATTCTTTATCCAGGTTGAAGGACTGCAGGTTGTCAGAGATCAGCTGTTCTTCTCTGGTCTCAGCTCTGACCTTTAACCCCTCCCATCTGACTGAACTGGAGCTGAACTGGAACAACCTGATAGGATCTGTAGTGAAGGAGTTGTGTGGTTTCCTCCAGAACCCAGAATGTAAACTACAGCGATTACAGTAAGTCTCCATGTTTTAGTTTATTGCTGATGTTTGTGATGTGAATAAACATCAGTATTGGGATGAATCCTGATGTTTTAGAGCTGCTCTCATGTTAAAGTGGAAACAGGAAAACAAAGACATGAAGCTGCCACCTGCAGCCTCATCCTCAAATTCCCTGATTCATTTTCATCAGACATGAGAAAAACTCTGGTTCCCCCCAGTGCATAATCAGCCTTGCGGGCCACCAGGTTTCCCCTAGTGGATTATCAGCCTGGTGGGCCACCAGGTTTCCCCCAGTGCATTATCAGCCTGAGGGGCCACCAGGTTTCCCCCAGTGCATTATCAGCCTGGCGGGCCACCAGGTTTCCCCCAGTGGATTATCAGCCTGGTGGGCCACCAGGTTTCCCCCAGTGCATTATCAGCCTGAGGGGCCACCAGGTTTCCCCCAGTGCATCATCAGCCTGGTGGGCCACCAGGTTTCCCCCAGTGGATTATCAGCCTGGCGGGCCACCAGGTTTCCCCAGTGCATTATCAGCCTGGCGGGCCACCAGGCTTTCCTTCTGATGAAATTATTAAGGCTGCATTGATTACAGTTTCCTGTCCCGTTACCAGATTATTTATTTTTTGACTGGCCTTCCTTTTGTGGTTGATATTTCTTGTCTGAAATGTCCCAAAGTGTGTGAAGAAGCTGCTAAGTTGCTAACAGTGGCACTATTGCTAGCTGCAGATGTTCAGACATGGAGCTGGAAGACGGCGCCTTCCTTCGGTCTCTGCAGGCCGAACATCAGTCGGGTTCAGGGAAGCAAAACCACCCAGATCAATCCTGGTAAAGTCCCTGATCGTGAGCCGGACCGCAGTCGGGATGAACAGCTTCCTGAGTTCAGTGGATCCCTCCAGACTGGGGAGGATGGACAACAGATAAAACCTGTAGAGGTTTCACTCTCCAGGCCGACTCACATGGTGGCCTAAAGCATAAAATGTGTTGGCTTTAATTCAGGCTTGGACAGTAAAGTTCATGGGTTGGATGAGACGGATCCGACCAGCGTAGATTTGTCCTCTGGATGCGACCAGGAGGAAGTTGTGAGGCGCAGGTGAAGCGTCATCATTCCAGTGAAGTCCTTTCATTTCAGAAGTTATTTGCTCCAGTCAGTGATTTTGTATTTAGTCGTTTTGTCACAGTGAGACACAGTTAGATACGTTCATCTTTATTTATGCTGGGATCTGTATTTGCAGCTCAATCAGTTGGTTATTAACTGAACTGCATAAAAATTGCAGCTAAATATCAATTTGAATTTGAAATTTCTGAACATTTTAAACTTTTGAATCTCTGAAAGTTCCAGATTTTTTCTATAAAAGGTCAACAGTTTATGTGTTGCCAAACTGCTGTTGTCCGTCTGGTTCTCCTCCAGGGAGAACCTCAGCCTCTCGGGCCGACCAGGTCCGGTCTGGTTCTGCTGGGTTTGATCTTTGTTGATCCTGATTCCCAGCTTGTGATCAGGAAGACGAGTTTCTCAGAGCTACAGATGATCATATTTAGCATGAAATACGAATCCAGTACCGAACGTCTCTGGCTTATTGTTGGTAAAGAAGCTTATTAGAGCGTTTTTTTTTTGAACTTACATTTTTATTATTATTTTCTACAGAGCAAATATACAGCCATACATCAGTGGTACATAATACAAATGTTGACAATATAATGATTTTCATAAAATAAACATCTCAGCATAATATCTTACGACCTCAGCATCACATTTGTTGACTTCTTACTAAACAATCCTAAAATGGAAATAGACACTTCGTGGGATAGTTAAACACCATATGACAAACCTATTGGGTTTATTTACATCAACAGAGCTTCTGCTGGGCCCCAGCGCCGACTAAAAGTGTTTTTTTGAAGTCTTAATGAGTATGTTATTTGTTCCATTCTATACAATTCCCTTACTTTTTGAACCCATAAGTCATAGGAAGGTGGCTCCAATTGCATCCACCTGATTGTAATACATTTCAGGTTTGCTGCTGTAAAAAGGATATTTAGCAGATATACTTTAGCCCGTCCTTGAAAACTCTCTGGTATAATACCAAGTAGTGCAACTGTGACATCCTTTGGTAAAACCCCTGGTAAGATATGACTTATGGCTCCGTACACCTCATCCCAGAAGTTTTGAAGTTTGGGGCATGACCAGAAAATGTGTGTGTGGTTGTATGGTTGGGGTTTGCTGAGCCACAGTTTCTCCAACACAAGCTTGGAACCGTAGGATCCATCTTAGCAACTACATCTGGGGTCCTGAAATATCTGCTAATAATTTTCCATTTAAATTTCCGCCACGTATTTGAGTTTGTAACTCGATGTGCTTCAGTCCAGACTCCCTCCCACGTTTCGTCAGAAATGATTTTGGCCGTCTCTGCCTCCCATCTTTGCTTTGTCCAAGTGGGTTTATTAAGGTTCATTGACAGAAATACACTATATAACTTTGCTATCAATTTTTTATTCCCTTTCTGGAAATGGATTAAAGATTTTCTAATGGTGTGGGGTTTAGTATTCTTTCCCAGTCCCTGTGTGCAGAAAAGAAAGAGCGCAACTGTAAATATCTAAAGAAATCACTTTTCTGGAGATTAAACTTACGACATAACTCTTCAAATGACATAAGTCCGTTCCTGTCAATCAACTGGTGAATGAATATAAGCCCCTGTTCAGCCCACTTAGAAAAATTTCTGTCTAAGAAATTGGGTGTGAAGGATTTGGCATGTCCAATACTTGTTAATATTGATAAACCTCTAGGTAGCTTGAATGAAATTCGCACTTTGTTCCAAATATTAAATGTGGTTTTAGTCCACAGAGGCAATTCCTTTACTGGAATATCTAAAAATGGCAAAACCTTTCATGGTACTGAGCACTTCACTTGCTCATATACTCAGCCATCTTGTTTGAGAATCCATGAAATTAAAAGTTTTAACTGAGCTGCCCAAAAATAGTATTTTAAAACAGGAAGATTGAGACCCCCTTCCATCTTACTTCTTTGAAGTGTTTTATATTTTATGCGAGGGCGCTTGCTTTGCCATATGAATTTCGATATCATTTTATCCAATTCAAGGAACGTAGATTTTGGTATGATAACCGGAACCATCTGGAACAAATACAATAATCTGGTAACAGATTCATACAAATGGTTTCAATGCGGCCGAGGAGGGACAGAGGCAATGCTGACCATCGCTCTAGATCCTTTTTAATTATATCCAGCGTTTTGCTGTAATTGACATGATACAAATCATTTAATGAGAGAGGAATATTGATGCCTAGGTATTTAATGCCCTTCCTTTGCCACCTAAAGCCGCTTTGTTGTTTAACCCCTAGTGGAATATTGACATTGACATCCATTGCTTCTGTCTTATCAACATTTATTTTATAGCCAGAAAAATGGCCAAAAACAGAGATCATTTCCCTCAGACGTGGTATTGATGATGTAGGATCAGACAGATACAAAAGTACATCATCTGCTTAAAGAGATATTTTATGTTCCTCCGCACTAATCAAAATTTCTTTAATTTCATCATTGTCCCTAATTAGCTGGGCCAATGGCTCAATGCTGACTGCGAACAATAGAGGTGACAAAGGACACCCCTGTCTACATCCACGCTCCAGCTTGAAACTCGTAGACCTGAAACCATTAACTCTGACTGCCGCTTGTGGGGATGAATACAATGTTTGTATCCAATCTATGAACTTAGGCCCAAATTTAAACCTTTTTAACGCTTGAATAAGGTATTTCCATGACACCCGATCAAAAGCCTTTTGGGCATCTAAAGATATTACAGCCGTCATAGCTTTGTTTTCTTTTTGGTGAGTCATAATATTTAATAAATGACACAAGTTATTTCCATAATACCTCCCAACGATAAATCCAGTTTGATCTGGATGTATGATTTGATTTATTATGACATTTAATCGTCTCGCCAGAATAGCGGTTAGAATGCGTACGTCCCATTAAGCATCGATATCGGCCTATATGACCCACAGTCAGTGGGATCTTTACCTTCTTTATGTAATACAACTATTGTGGCATCAGACCAGGATGGCGCCATTGTTTTGGTTTCTAAAGAGAAGCGGTATGCTTCCAATAAAAGTGGACTAACGATGTCTATGAAACATTTATAGAATTCATTTATGAAACCATCAGGACCAGGACACTTATTGTTTTTAAGGGATAAGACAACGTTTTTAATTTCTTCTTCTTGAATTGACTTATCTAATTGTTTAGCTACTGTATCGGATAACTCAGAAATATTTATATTTTGTAAATAGTCTGCTATCTTACTTTCATCAGAGCAAGTGTCAGTATCTCGGTATAAAACCTTGTAAAATTCTGCAAAAGTTTCAGCAATATCTTTTGGTTTTAGGATAGATTTATTGCCCGATTTTAGCTTTTGAACCGCATTTGAGGACTGCTGTTTTTTAAGACGGAAGGCCAAAAGTCTGCTCGTTTTATTTCCATTTTCATAGTACTGCTGCTTGGCAAAACGAAGATTACCTTCTATCTTTTCTGATAGTAAGTCTTGGAGCTCTCTGCGTGTTGTATTCAAATCGTTCAGAACCTTGGATGCCCTAGTCTTTTTATGTTGAAGTTCCAGATCCCGAATTCTATCTTCTAAATATTTCTGTTTTGCTGCCTTTTGTCTTTTTTTTTGCTGTCGTGTAGGAGATTATGCTGCCTCTTAAATAGGCCTTTGCACAGTCCCACAACATTATGGGAGATGTTTCAGGGGTGTTGTTTATGTCTAAATAAGTTTTGAGCTCCGATTTAACAAAAGCAACAAAGTCTTTGTCATTAAGAAGAGAGGTATTAAGTCTCCACTGTTTAACTGATGGTGTCAATCCTATATTCCACTTGACAGTAACTGGTGCGTGGTCAGAGATTGTAATGGGCAGTATTGAGATATCCTCAATTCTGTGCAGCTCAGCCTTAGCAGTAAAAAAGTAATCTGTTCGTGAGTAAGATGCATGTCTGTTTGAGTAAAATGTAAAATTTCTCTCCTTTGGAAATTTGGATCGCCATACATCCACTAATCCAGCTTCCACAGACAAATTTCTAAGCATTTTTCCCATTTTGGATAATGGGGTCTGAGCGGTTGGTTGCCTATCTAAATTTGACATTACACAATTAAAATCACCCCCCACAATCAGCAGACCAGAGCTGTGCTCTGCAATCATATTAAAAACCGACTTGATAAATCCTGGAACATCTTCGTTAGGGGCATATACATTTATGAAGGATACTGCTGTTCCATCAATTATCCCATTTACCAATATAAATCTACCTTCCTTGTCCTTATGAACTAACGTTTCAGTAAAGTTAATCTGCCTATGTATTAATATAGCAACACCCCTTTTCCTTCCAGAACAGTGCGACGAATAGTAAACTTTATCAGCCCAGGACTTATTTAGTTTTGCATGTTCCAAATCTGATAAGTGAGTTTCTTGTAGTAGTGCTACTTGACATTTTGACTGTCTGAGTTGCAATAATACTTTTTTCCTTTTGATTGGACTATGCAAACCCCTGACGTTGTAACTTGTTACAGTTAGTGTACTCATATCTGCTTTAACTAAAAGAAAAATTTATATCTATATATGATGGTATTGGAGGCAGAGACGGCCATTTGACAGATGGTACCAAACATTTGAGTAACATGGATGCTGAATTCCAAGATGATGCAATAAAATAAAAATAGTAAGGCTTTGCTGTGCAATATTTCCATAACTGAGACTCGAATGCTCTGTTTTTTAGATACAATAAGATCCTCGGAGAACAGAAGGATCAAAACGCAAAAACACACTTAAAAGTTTGCATTGCTAACATAATGCAAGTTGGTGGGTTTAAGTCCCTAGCCACTATAAAAGCAGCAACAAACACAACCAGAAAAGAATTGGATGTGTGAGAAAACAACAAAGAGAAATTAAGAGTGTGGAACCTCAGGCTCCTGAAGGGGAGTATAAGCATGTGTATTTTAACCACAACATAAAATCTACTGGTGATTTTAATACAGCCTAGTTAAGGCTAAACGTGACTTAGTAAAGTAACAAGATTAGAAGTGACATTGTTGCGGTATTTTCTAATGTACCAGTTTATAGAAGTACAATTGCTGAACACCATCACAGTCAGGATTTAAGCAATTAAAGGCACATTTATTTCAGATTTGAGATCTACTGGACCTAATTGTGCCATATTAGCATTCACGGCTTCCCTTACGTTTCGGTCCCAGGTGTTGCAGCCGGGATGGTCTTCCTTATGTAGTCCATGGCCTTTACGGGATCCCGAAACTCCTTGCTGTCCTTGTATGTGATTTTGAATCTTGCTGGATAAAGTAATCCGAAGCGCACATCGTTCCGTCCCCGCAGAGCTTTCCGTGCCTCAGGCTGCGGCGCCTTGGCCACACTGGTGGTATAATCCGGGAAGATCGCGATTCTTTTACCCTGGTAGGTCAGCGGGGCTTTATCCCGGGCTCTCCTCAGGATGTCAGCGGCGTCTCCATCATAGTGCAGCTTGGCGATGATCGCACGGGGTCTGGCTCCGTCCCCCGGTTTTGTCGGAGCGGCCGTTCGGTGTGAACGATCGACTTTTACATCCCGGTCCATTTGGAGCGCTTCTTTGATGATTTTTGAGACCTCTTTGGGACTAGCGGAATTCGGATGTTCCTCAACTCCAACTATACGGACATTTCCGCGCCTCATCCTCCCCTCCATGTCCTCGCACCTGTCCCGTATCTTCACCAGCTCGCTCCGAAGTTCACTCACGGTAGTTTGCAGAGTATTTACCTCATCAGACCAGGTCGACAGTCCACCTTTCACGTCTTCAATGTCCGCTTCAATTGAAGTGATATCTGCGCGAATGGCGGTGGCATTGCTGGTTATTTCTGCCCTCACTGCGTGGATGTCAGCTCTGAGAGCGGTGAACTCTTCGGCCAGCGCACTCCTCATTTCCTCCCTTATAATTTTGGAGATTTCCCCTCGTATAGAGGTTAGGATATCGGCTTTCAGCTCCTCACTCATACCAGCACTCTTAGGTTGTGGGTCGTCTTCTTCTGGAGCACGCTGCCTCGTGGTTCTGGTGCTAGCAGTTAGCTTTGCCGTGTTACCGTTGTACTTGAATTTACGAAGTTTATCCGCCAAATAACTTCCGGTGGAAAGGAGTTCTTATAGTCTAAAATATTTGTTATTGCGATTTAGGTTGCAATTAATGAGCAGTTGTGGATTTTAAATCGAAAATGTTAATAAGCCTGCAGGAGCTCTGAAATATATTTACTCCATCTTGGCTCAACAGCGCCCCCCTTATTAGAGCGTTTTAACAACAGACTGGCACACTACTGCCACCAAGTGGTGGAAACTGAGCGCCTGCATTCTGATGCTGCATCATGATTTCTGTAAACTTTATCACAGGTAAAAACCTGGGGGTTTCCTGCAGCCCTGTAGGTGGCGCTGGTGGCCCAACTGTGGTTAAGAATGGCTGTTCTAACTGGTTCTGTTGTTCTAACTGGTTCTGATGTTCTAACTGGTTCTGTTGCTCTAACTGGTTCTGTTGTTCTAACTGGTTCTGTTGCTCTAACTGGTTCTGTTGTTCTAACTGGTTCTGTTGCTCTAACTGGTTCTGTTGTTTTAACTGGTTCTGTTGTTCTAACTGGTTCTGTTGTTCTAACTGGTTCTGTTGTTCTAACTGGTTCTGTTGTTCTAACTGGTTCTGTTGCTCTAACTGGTTCTGTTGTTCTAACTGGTTCTGTTGTTCTAACTGGTTCTGTTGTTTTAACTGGTTCTGTTCTAACTGGTTCTGTTGCTCTAACTGGTTCTGTTGTTCTAACTGGTTCTGTTGCTCTAACTGGTTCTGTTGTTCTAACTGGTTCTGTTGCTCTAACTGGTTCTGTTGTTTTAACTGGTTCTGTTGTTCTAACTGGTTCTGTTGTTCTAACTGGTTCTGTTGTTCTAACTGGTTCTGTTGCTCTAACTGGTTCTGTTGTTCTAACTGGTTCTGTTGTTCTAACTGGTTCTGTTGTTCTAACTGGTTCTGTTGTTTTAACTGGTTCTGTTGTTCTAACTGGTTCTGTTGTTCTAACTGGTTCTGTTGCTCTAACTGGTTCTGTTGTTCTAACTGGTTCTGTTGTTCTAACTGGTTCTGTTGTTTTAACTGGTTCTGTTCTAACTGGTTCTGTTGCTCTAACTGGTTCTGTTGCTCTAACTGGTTCTGTTGTTCTAACTGGTTCTGTTGCTCTAACTGGTTCTGTTGTTCTAACTGGTTCTGATGTTCTAACTGGTTCTGTTGCTCTAACTGGTTCTGTTGTTCTAACTGGTTCTGTTGCTCTAACTGGTTCTGTTGTTCTAACTGGTTCTGATGTTCTAACTGGTTCTGTTGCTCTAACTGGTTCTGTTGTTCTAACTGGTTCTGTTGCTCTAACTGGTTCTGTTGTTCTAACTGGTTCTGTTGTTCTAACTGGTTCTGTTGCTCTAACTGGTTCTGTTGTTCTAACTGGTTCTGTTGCTCTAACTGGTTCTGTTGTTCTAACTGGTTCTGTTGTTCTAACTGGTTCTGTTGTTCTAACTGGTTCTGTTGTTCTAACTGGTTCTGTTGCTCTAACTGGTTCTGTTGTTCTAACTGGTTCTGTTGTTCTAACTGGTTCTGTTGCTCTAACTGGTTCTGTTGTTCTAACTGGTTCTGTTGTTCTAACTGGTTCTGTTGTTCTAACTGGTTCTGTTGTTCTAACTGGTTCTGTTGCTCTAACTGGTTCTGTTGTTCTAACTGGTTCTGTTGTTCTAACTGGTTCTGTTGTTCTAACTGGTTCTGTTGTTTTAACTGGTTCTGTTGTTCTAACTGGTTCTGTTGTTCTAACTGGTTCTGTTGCTCTAACTGGTTCTGTTGTTCTAACTGGTTCTGTTGTTCTAACTGGTTCTGTTGTTCTAACTGGTTCTGTTGTTTTAACTGGTTCTGTTCTAACTGGTTCTGTTGCTCTAACTGGTTCTGTTGTTCTAACTGGTTCTGTTGTTCTAACTGGTTCTGTTGTTTTAACTGGTTCTGTTCTAACTGGTTCTGTTGCTCTAACTGGTTCTGTTGCTCTAACTGGTTCTGTTGTTCTAACTGGTTCTGTTGCTCTAACTGGTTCTGTTGTTCTAACTGGTTCTGATGTTCTAACTGGTTCTGTTGCTCTAACTGGTTCTGTTGTTCTAACTGGTTCTGTTGCTCTAACTGGTTCTGTTGTTCTAACTGGTTCTGTTGTTCTAACTGGTTCTGTTGCTCTAACTGGTTCTGTTGTTCTAACTGGTTCTGTTGTTCTAACTGGTTCTGTTGTTCTAACTGGTTCTGTTGCTCTAACTGGTTCTGTTGTTCTAACTGGTTCTGTTGGACCGGTGGCTTCAGCTCATATCTTTGGTTCTTTATTCAGATTCAGCCACTGCAGCTTGTCAAAGATCAGCTGTGACGATCCGGCCTCAGCTCTGACCTCCGACCCGTCAGGTCAACCTGGACTGCAGCTGAGCAGCAACAGCTACTACAACCTGGGAGATGATGGACTGAAGGAGATCTGTGATATTCTGCAGGATCCTGGATGCAGAATACAACGACTGCAGTAAGAAACAGTGTCTTGAGTCATTGCTGATACTTGTGATGTAAAGTCGTTTCCAGAGATCAGTCCAGATGTTTCTGAGCTGCTCTCCTGTAAAAGAGGAAGCAGGGAGGAAACAGGAAGTGGAAAATCACAGAATAAGAGCAAAGTGCTGATGCTGCAACTTCAGATTTACTGATTGTTTCTCTTTCTTTAGAAATTAAATCTGTTAAAGAGGAATAATAACATTTTATGTATTCATGTCATTTATTTGAATGTTTTTAATCTTTAGCTTCTGGAATCTATGGAAGCTCAAAGGTGGCAAAATTAAATGAATAAATGTGCCATGAAATACATATTGGTAAATCTCTCTTGAATAAATTAAATGAGCCATGAAGCCAATAACTCATTTAATTTTGCTCTAAATAGTTGAATATACGATGAGACATGCCATGAACAGCAGCTGATCTCAGGAGATTCTGTGACCATCGTGTTCTGATGGCTCTTGTTTGTCTCCAACATGTTCATGTCGATAATTGCTCGCTAGCGCCCCCTGTGGTCACATGGTGCACCACCTGGTCCAGGTGTGTGACGTTGTGGTGGAAAACCTTTCAGTCAGTCTGCAGTCGATGTCTAGAAATAACTCCAACGACTTTCTAAACTTTCTGATTCATCTGCTACAAACTGCTGAGCAGCTCCAGCCTCTGCGTCTCGATCTTGGTCTGAAATGTCTCACCAGTTCAGGTTCTGCATGAACGGAGCCGCCATGTTGGAACAGACCCAGCAAACCAACCAATGGATGAGCCAGGATGAGTGTTAGCCCCGCCCACGAGGCTGATGGCTGGGTTTAAGTTATTAATGTTGAGACGGCAGCCATGATAAATACATCCAGGGAAACACTTAGAAATATTTCCATAGAAACATTTCTCTAACTCAGTGGATCCAAAGACTTTCTGTCCCCAATGGATCACAATAAAGGCCCCAAAAAGAACAACAATCATCTGGGCTCATCGTTCAGCCACACATCAACCTAAACACACATTTTGTTTTCAATCTCCACTGGACTTTATTTCACACTTCAGGTTCCAGCAAAACTACAAACCATCTTTACAGTGAAACACTTTAACTGTGTAACTGCTTTATTTTCCATCATACTCTTCCTGCCCCCTGCAGTGGCACCGTGTCCCCTCTAGGGGGCGCCCCACACTTTGGGAACCACTGCACTAACAGGACGTTTTATGATTTCAAGTCATTTCTAAAGGTTGACCTAATTATTCACTGAATACGTCAGAATTTCATTATATATTCAGTTATTAATGTATTAAAGGACTTTGTGATATTTTTAAGTGTTTTTAATATTTTTATGATGCATTATTGAATTAATAGGAGATTTATATGTATTTAATTTTATCTTTATTTAACTGATCCATTTCTAACCTGTCTGTCAGGAACAAGTCTATAATCAATGATTGATGCTTCAGTCCTTTGATCAAACCTGGAAGGATTTTCTTACTAAAATCCTGCAGTTGAAGCAGCAGCAGCTTCATGTTGGCATTAATATTCATTCATCTGGTTCTGTTGGACTGGTTCACCTGCATCCTGCTGGTTCAGCTCACATCTTTTATTCTTTATTCAGGTTGATCAGCTGCAGTTTATCAGAGATCAGCTGTTCTTCTCTGGTCTCAGCTCTGCAGTCCAACCAACATCTGACTGAAGTGGAAATAAATGAGATCAACATGGAGGAAACCGTTTCAGACTCTGGGATGAAGCGTCTGTGTGAGATCCTGCAGAGTTCAGTCACTAAAGTCAAGACTTTAAGGTTTGTTTTCTCTGTCAAAATGATTCATTGATACGTTAACAATTATTTTCATTCATCATTTATTTGCCTAACAAACATCCTGATGTCAAAAAGGCAGAATATTATTTCTCAAACATTTTTCCATTAAAATAAATTATTTTCATATTTCAGGCTGTCAGAATATTGAACTTTAGTTGAAATGTTTTGCTGCTGAAGCAAATGGAGGTAAATAAATGAATGAAAGGTGGAGACGCTCCAGTCTGGTGTGGGACAGATTCAGATGAAGCACTTTAATATTTCCTTCAATATCAATATGATCAATATTGGTACCGATGTGATCAATACTGGGATGGATCCGCCCACCTCTAGTGAGAAGCAGAAACGTGACAAAGAGAGATTAATGCTGTCTAACACTGAAGACAATGAAGGAAATTTACTGAGAATAACGGAGCAAACCGACGGTAAAATGCTTCCTGATGCTAAGCTAAGCTAGCTTAGCAAGATTAGAGCTGTTAGCATGCTCCATTGAGGTAGCAGCTAATGCTACATCCAGTGTTAGCATTACTGCATGGTGAAGTGTTTGTTGTCTCCATACCAGAGGAAAGTGACTTCTGTGAATAAGTTAGCAGGAGCTAAAAGCTGCTAATGTTTAGAGCGGCTGGAAGAGCAGACGGTGGCCAGCTTCACACTGAGGATGATGATGGTGATTCTTCATCGTCATCATTGATCAGGGAACCAAAGCCAACCTGATTGGATGCAGGGAAACCACAGCCTGGTTTTCATCGGGCTGCTGCTGCTCATGTTTACAAGATGATTCATTAATGAACCGGAAATCTTTCATTCATTCCCAAAACTCGGATTATTCATTATTCTGGTCCATTCAGACCTTCGATCAAAACCGAGGGCCGACATGAGGCTGGTGCTGCTCTACATATAACACTGTAAAAAGGAGTTTAGATTAAAAAGGTTTTATTTACATTAACATGTTATTTTAAATGTTCCTCAATGATCAATACAGTTTGACTGATGTTAGCCTTTGCTGACCCAAAATGCCAACCAGTTTGTTTCATTTATGGATTTGAATTATTTAGTGTTAATGTGTCACTTAGATTAAAGTTTAATTCAGGTCAATTTCACCAGGATTTTTATTTCTTTCTTCCTTTGATTTCAAGGTTTTTGGGCCAAACACTGTGTCCTTCCTTCACCATGTGTCCCAGTTTCATCCCAGTTCCATCCCAGTTCAATCCCAGTTCCATCCCAGTTCCATCCCAGTTCAATCCCAGTTCAATCCCAGTTCAATCCCAGTTCATTCCCAGTTCCATCCCAGTTCCATCCCAGTTCCATCCCAGTTCCATCCCAATTCATTCCCAGTTCCATCCCAGTTCCATCCCAGTTGCTCCCATTAAGATCACATTTAATAGGAAGCTGAACTTTATGTGCACCAACAGTTTTCAGGAAGAAACTTTCCAGACTGAAATTCTCCATCTGTGGAAAACAGACTTTATATTTTGTGCTGATTGATGTTCAGCCAGTCCTGCTATCATGGATCAATACCAATATTGATCGATTCATTGAAGTCATTCAGATCAAACTGTTTCTGTAAATCAGAATCTGACCTCTGACCTCCAGCTGCACATCAAAGGCATTCCCATCTAACTTTCCTCAGGCTCTGATGTCACTTTGGTTCTGAAAGTCCATTTTAATTCCCGACCAGAACCACTGAAATATTCTAACAACACGTCATAATAACATGTTCTGGTTCTGCTGGTTTGGACTCTATAAACCAGTTTTACTGGATCAAATATTAAACATCAGTTCATCATGTTTCACTTTAACATTCAGTGAAATTAATTTTCTACATTTTATTATTAATTTGTTGATATTTCAGTTTTAACCTGCATCCTGTTGGTTCAGCTCACATCTTTTATTCTTTATCCAGGTTGAAGGACTGCAGGTTGTCAGAGATCAGCTGTTCTTCTCTGGTCTCAGCTCTGACCTTTAACCCCTCCCATCTGACTGAACTGGAGCTGAACTGGAACAACCTGATAGGATCTGTAGTGAAGGAGTTGTGTGGTTTCCTCCAGAACCCAGAATGTAAACTACAGCGATTACAGTAAGTCTCCATGTTTTAGTTTATTGCTGATGTTTGTGATGTGAATAAACATCAGTATTGGGATGAATCCTGATGTTTTAGAGCTGCTCTCATGTTAAAGTGGAAACAGGAAAACAAAGACATGAAGCTGCCACCTGCAGCCTCATCCTCAAATTCCCTGATTCATTTTCATCAGACATGAGAAAAACTGTTTCTAACTCTGGTTCCCCCCAGTGCATGATCAGCCTGGTGGGCCACCAGGTTTCCCCCAGTGCATTATCAGCCTGGCGGGCCACCAGGTTTCCCCCAGTGCATTATCACCCTGGTGGGCCACCAGGTTTCCCCCAGTGCATTATCAGCCTGGCAGGCCACCAGGTTTCCCCAGTGCATTATCAGCCTGGCAGGCCACCAAGTTTCCCCCAGTGCATTATCAGCCTGGTGGGCCACCAGGTTTCCCCCAGTGCATTATCACCCTGGTGGGCCACCAGGTTTCCCCAGTGCATTATCAGCCTGAGGGGCCACCAGGTTTCCCTCAGTGCATTATCAGCCTGGCGGGCCAGCAGGTTTCCCTCAGTGCATTATCAGCCTGGCGGGCCACCAAGTTTTTCCCAGTGCATTATCAGCCTGGCGGGCCACCAGGCTTTCCTTCTGATGAAATTATTAAGGCTGCATTGATTACAGTTTCCTGTCCCGTTACCAGATTATTTATTTTTTGACTGGTCTTCCATTTGTGGTTGATATTTCTTGTCTGAAATGTCCCAAAGTGTGTGAAGAAGCTGCTAAGTTGCTAAGAGTGGCACTATTGCTAGCTGCAGATGTTCAGACATGGAGCTGGAAGACGGCGCCTTCCTTCGGTCTCTGCAGGCCGAACATCAGTCGGGTTCAGGGAAGCAAAACCACCCAGATCAATCCTGGTAAAGTCCCTGATCCTGAGCCGGACCGCAGTCGGGATGAACAGCTTCCTGAGTTCAGTGGATCCCTCCAGACTGGGGAGGATGGACAACAGATAAAACCTGGAGAGGTTTCACTGTCCAGGCCGACTCACATGGTGGCCTAAAGCATAAAATGTGTTGGCTTTAATTCAGGCTTGGACAGTAAAGTTCATGGGTTGGATGAGACGGATCCGACCAGCGTAGATTTGTCCTCTGGATGCGACCAGGAGGAAGTTGTGAGGCGCAGGTGAAGCGTCATCATTCCAGTGAAGTCCTTTCATTTCAGAAGTTATTTGCTCCAGTCAGTGATTTTGTATTTAGTCGTTTTGTCACAGTGAGACACAGTTAGATACGTTCATCTTTATTTATGCTGGGATCTGTATTTGCAGCTCAATCAGTTGGTTATTAACTGAACTGCATAAAAATTGCAGCTAAATATCAATTTGAATTTGAAATTTCTGAACATTTTAAACTTTTGAATCTCTGAAAGTTCCAGATTTTTTCTATAAAAGGTCAACAGTTTATGTGTTGCCAAACTGCTGTTGTCCGTCTGGTTCTCCTCCAGGGAGAACCTCAGCCTCTCGGGCCGACCAGGTCCGGTCTGGTTCTGCTGGGTTTGATCTTTGTTGATCCTGATTCCCAGCTTGTGATCAGGAAGACGAGTTTCTCAGAGCTACAGATGATCATATTTAGCATGAAATACGAATCCAGTACCGAACGTCTCTGGCTTATTGTTGGTAAAGAAGCTTATTAGAGCGTTTTAACAACAGACTGGCACACTACTGCCACCAAGTGGTGGAAACTGAGCGCCTGCATTCTGATGCTGCATCATGATTTCTGTAAACTTTATCACAGGTAAAAACCTGGGGGTTTCCTGCAGCCCTCTAGGTGGCGCTGGTGGCCCAACTGTGGTTAAGAATGGCTGTTCTAACTGGTTCTGATGTTCTAACTGGTTCTGTTGCTCTAACTGGTTCTGTTGTTCTAACTGGTTCTGTTGTTCTAACTGGTTCTGTTGCTCTAACTGGTTCTGTTGTTCTAACTGGTTCTGTTGCTCTAACTGGTTCTGTTGCTCTAACTGGTTCTGTCGCTCTAACTGGTTCTGCTGTTCTAACTGGTTCTGTTGTTCTAACTGGTTCTGTTGTTCTAACTGGTTCTGTTGCTCTAACTGGTTCTGTTGCTCTAACTGGTTCTGTTGTTCTAACTGGTTCTGTTGTTCTAACTGGTTCTGTTGTTCTAACTGGTTCTGTTGTTTTAACTGGTTCTGTTGCTCTAACTGGTTCTGTTGCTCTAACTGGTTCTGTTGCTCTAACTGGTTCTGTCGCTCTAACTGGTTCTGCTGTTCTAACTGGTTCTGTTGTTCTAACTGGTTCTGTTGTTCTAACTGGTTCTGTTGCTCTAACTGGTTCTGTTGCTCTAATTAGTTCTGTTGCTCTAACTCAGTGCTTCTCAATTATTTTCCGTTACGCCCCCCTAGCAAGAAGAAAACTATTCGCGCCCCCCACTCTCCACCGTGACTATCCATCTCTGCATAACATTTTTTCCTTATTAACATTTTTTTCGCTGAAAAAACTCTGGCGGCTTATCCGCGTGATTGGGATGTAACGTGTTTAAGTGACGCGCTAATTTATTTGGCTTCATGCTGTCCGCTGCGAGCATTTTTAGACACAGCAAACACACCGGTCTTTCCTCTTCTCCAACTGTAGTCACAGTGAAGCCAAGCGCTAAATACGCTTCGTCGTATTTCCTCTTCTTAGCTTTCGGTTGACTTTCTGTTGTTTCATTATCTTTGTCTCTCTCCGCTTTTCTTTTCATCCCTGTGAAAAACTTTTTCATGTTGGGGGTTGTTGAATAACGGAGGCCAGAGACAGAACGCAGTCGGAGCTTTTTGTTGACTTAACACTGCTAACCAAGGCAAACCTGTTGTCTTGTAAGTCGTAAAATGTTGCACTGTCGCAAACGTGACAGAAGTAACAATGAGAGCGCCACTGCCGCCTACTGTGCGCAATTACACTTTATACTAGTACGGCCAAAAAAAAGCCTGTTCCCCAGGATCACACGCGCCCCCCAAAGGGGGCCCGCCCCACTATTTGAGAAGCACTGCTCTAACTGGTTCTGCTGTTCTAACTGGTTCTGTTCTAACTGGTTCTGTTGCTCTAACTGGTTCTGTTCTAACTGGTTCTGTTGCTCTAACTGGTTCTGTTCTAACTGGTTCTGTTGCTCTAACTGGTTCTGTTCTAACTGGTTCTGTTGTTCTAACTGGTTCTGTTGCTCTAACTGGTTCTGTTGCTCTAACTGGTTCTGTTGGACCGGTGGCTTCAGCTCATATCTTTGGTTCTTTATTCAGATTCAGCCGCTGCAGCTTGTCAAAGATCAGCTGTGATGATCCGGCCTCAGCTCTGACCTCCGACCCGTCAGGTCAACCTGGACTGCAGCTGAGCAGCAACAGCTACTACAACCTGGGAGATGATGGACTGAAGGAGATCTGTGATATTCTGCAGCATCCTGGATGCAGAATACAACGACTGCAGTAAGAAACAGTGTCTTGAGTCATTGTTGATATTTCTGATGTAAAGTCGTTTCCAGAGATCAGTCCAGATGTTTCTGAGCTGCTCTCCTGTAAAAGAGGCTGCAGGGAGGAAACAGGAAGTGGAAAATCACAGAATAAGAGCAAAGTGCTGATGCTGCAACTTCAGATTTACTGATTGTTTCTCTTTCTTTAGAAATTAAATCTGTTAAAGAGGAATAATAACATTTTATGTATTCATGTCATTTATTTGAATGTTTTTAATCTTTAGCTTCTGGAATCTATGGAAGCTCAAAGGTGGCAAAATTAAATGAATAAATGTGCCATGAAATACATATTGGTAAATCTCTCTTGAATAAATTAAATGAGCCATGAAGCCAATAACTCATTTAATTTTGCTCTAAATAGTTGAATATATGATGAGACATGCCATGAACAGCAGCTGATCTCAGGAGATTCTGTGACCATCGTGTTCTGATGGCTCTTGTTTGTCTCCAACATGTTCATGTCGATAATTGCTCGCTAGCGCCCCCTGTGGTCACATGGTGCACCACCTGGTCCAGGTGTGTGACGTTGTGGTGGAAAACCTTTCAGTCAGTCTGCAGTCGATGTCTAGAAATAACTCCAACGACTTTCTAAACTTTCTGATTCATCTGCTACAAACTGCTGAGCAGCTCCAGCCTCTGCGTCTCGATCTTGGTCTGAAATGTCTCACCAGTTCAGGTTCTGCATGAACGGAGCCGCCATGTTGGAACAGACCCAGCAAACCAACCAATGGATGAGCCAGGATGAGTGTTAGCCCCGCCCACGAGGCTGATGGCTGGGTTTAAGTTATTAATGTTGAGACGGCAGCCATGATAAATACATCCAGGGAAACACTTAGAAATATTTCCATAGAAACATTTCTCTAACTCAGTGGATCCAAAGACTTTCTGTCCCCAATGGATCACAATAAAGGCCCCAAAAAGAACAACAATCATCTGGGCTCATCGTTCAGCCACACATCAACCTAAACACACATTTTGTTTTCAATCTCCACTGGACTTTATTTCACACTTCAGGTTCCAGCAAAACTACAAACCATCTTTACAGTGAAACACTTTCACTGTGTAACTGCTTTATGTTCCATCATACTCTTCCTGCCCCCTGCAGTGGCACCGTGTTCCCTCTAGGGGGCGCGCCCCACACTTTGGGAACCACTGCACTAACAGGACGTTTTATGATTTCAAGTCATTTCTAAAGGTTGACCTAATTATTCACTGAATACGTCAGAATTTCATTATATATTCAGTTATTAATGTATTAAAGGACTTTGTGATATTTTTAAGTGTTTTTTTTTAATATTTTTATGATGCATTATTGAATTAATGGGAGATTTACATGTATTTAATATTTCATGTTTCACTTTTACATTCAGTGAAATTAATTTTCTACATTTTATTATTAATTTGTTGATATTTCAGTTTTAACCTGCATCCTGTTGGTTCAGCTCACATCTTTTATTCTTTATCCAGGTTGAAGGACTGCAATTTGTCAGAGATCAGCTGTTCTTCTCTGGCCTCAGCTCTGACCTTTAACCCCTCCCATCTGACTGAACTGGAGCTGAACTGGAACGACCTGAAAGGTTCTGGAGTGAAGGAGTTCTGTGGTTTCCTCCAGAACCCAGAATGTAAACTACAGCGATTACAGTAAGTCTCCATGTTTTAGTTTATTGCTGATGTTTGTGATGTGAATAAACATCAGTATTGGGATGAATCCTGATGTTTTAGAGCTGCTCTCATGTTAAAGTGGAAACAGGAAAACAAAGACATGAAGCTGCCACCTGCAGCCTCATCCTCAAATTCCCTGATTCATTTTCATCAGACATGAGAAAAACTCTGGTTCCCCCCAGTGCATAATCAGCCTTGCGGGCCACCAGGTTTCCCCTAGTGCATTATCAGCCTGAGGGGCCACCAGGTTTCCCCCAGTGCATTATCAGCCTGGCGGGCCACCAGGTTTCCCCCAGTGCATTATCAGCCTGGCGGGCCACCAGGTTTCCCCAGTGCATTATCAGCCTGGCAGGCCACCAAGTTTCCCCCAGTGCATTATCAGCCTGGCGGGCCACCAGGTTTCCCCCAGTGCATTATCAGCCTGGCGGGCCACCAGGTTTCCCCCAGTGCATTATCAGCCTGGCGGGCCATCAGGTTCCCCCCAGTGCATAATCAGCCTGACGGGCCACCAGGTTTCCCTCAGTGCATCATCAGCCTGGCGGGCCACCAGGTTTCCCCTAGTGCATTATCAGCCTGGCGGGCCACCAGGTTTCCCCCAGTGCATTATCAGCCTGGCGGGCCACCAGGCTCTCCTTCTGATGAAATTATTAAGGCTGCATTGATTACAGTTTCCTGTCCCGTTACCAGATTATTTTTTGACTGGCCTTCCTTTTGTGGTTGATATTTCTTGTCTGAAATGTCCCAAAGTGTGTGAAGAAGCTGCTAAGTTGCTAACAGTGGCACTATTGCTAGCTGCAGATGTTCAGACATGGAGCTGGAAGACGGCGCCTTCCTTCGGTCTCTGCAGGCCGAACATCAGTCGGGTTCAGGGAAGCAAAACCACCCAGATCAATCCTGGTAAAGTCCCTGATCGTGAGCCGGACCGCAGTCGGGATGAACAGCTTCCTGAGTTCAGTGGATCCCTCCAGACTGGGGAGGATGGACAACAGATAAAACCTGGAGAGGTTTCACTAATGGGAGATTTATATGTATTTAATTTTATCTTTATTTAATTGATCCATTTCTAACCTGTCTGTCAGGAACAAGTCTATAATCAATGATTGATGCTTCAGTCCTTTGATCAGACCTGGAAGGATTTTTCTTACTAAAATCCTGCAGTTGAAGCAGCAGCAGCTTCATGTTGGCATTAATATTCATTCATGTGGTTCTGTTGGACTGGTTCACCTGCATCCTGCTGGTTCAGCTCACATCTTTTATTCTTTATCCAGGTTGAAGGACTGCAGGTTGTCAGAGATCAGCTGTTCTTCTCTGGCCTCAGCTCTGCAGTCCAACCAACATCTGACTGAAGTGGAAATAAATGAGATCAACATGGAGGGAACCGTTTCAGACTCTGGGATGAAGCGTCTGTGTGAGATCCTGCAGAGTTCAGTCACTAAAGTCAAGACTTTAAGGTTTGTTTTCTCTGTCAAAATGATTCATTGATACGTTAACAATTATTTTCATTCATCATTTATTTGCCTAACAAACATCCTGATGTCAAAAAGGCAGAATATTATTTCTCAAACATTTTTCCATTAAAATAAATTATTTTCATATTTCAGGCTGTCAGAATATTGAACTTTAGTTGAAATGTTTTGCTGCTGAAGCAAATGGAGGTAAATAAATGAATGAAAGGTGGAGACGCTCCAGTCTGGTGTGGGACAGATTCAGATGAAGCACTTTAATATTTCCTTCAATATCAATATGATCAATATTGGTACCGATGTGATCAATACTGGGATGGATCCGCCCACCTCTAGTGAGAAGCAGAAATGTGACAAAGAGAGATTAATGCTGTCTAACACTGAAGACAATGAAGGAAATTTACTGAGAATAACGGAGCAAACCGACGGTAAAATGCTTCCTGATGCTAAGCTTAGCTAGCTTAGCAAGATTAGAGCTGTTAGCATGCTCCATTGAGGTAGCAGCTAATGCTACATCCAGTGTTAGCATTACTGCATGGTGAAGTGTTTGTTGTCTCCATACCAGAGGAAAGTGACTTCTGTGAATAAGTTAGCAGGAGCTAAAAGCTGCTAATGTTTAGAGCGGCTGGAAGAGCAGACGGTGGCCAGCTTCACACTGAGGATGATGATGGTGATTCTTCATCCTCATCATTGATCAGGGAACCAAAGCCAACCTGATTGGATGCAGGGAAACCACAGCCTGGTTTTCATCGGGCTGCTGCTGCTCATGTTTACAAGATGATTCATTAATGAACCGGAAATCTTTCATTCATTCCCAAAACTCGGATTATTCATTATTCTGGTCCATTCAGACCTTCGATCAAAACCGAGGGCCGACATGAGGCTGGTGCTGCTCTACATATAACACTGTAAAAAGGAGTTTAGATTAAAAAGGTTTTATTTACATTAACATGTTATTTTAAATGTTCCTCAATGATCAATACAGTTTGACTGATGTTAGCCTTTGCTGACCCAAAATGCCAACCAGTTTGTTTCATTTATGGATTTGAATTATTTAGTGCTAATGTGTCACTTAGATTAAAGTTTAATTCAGGTCAATTTCACCAGGATTTTTATTTCTTTCTTCCTTTGATTTCAAGGTTTTTGGGCCAAACACTGTGTCCTTCCTTCACCATGTGTCCCAGTTTCATTCCCAGTTCCATCCCAGTTTCATCCCAGTTCCATCCCAGTTCCATCCCAGTTCCATCCCAGTTCAATCCCAGTTCCATCCCAGTTCCATCCCAGTTCCATCCCAGTTGCATCCCAGTTCAATCCCAGTTCCATCCCAGTTCCATCCCAGTTGCATCCCAGTTCAATCCCAGTTCCATCCCAGTTCCATCCCAGTTCAATCCCAGTTCCATCCCAGTTCCATCCCAGTTCAATCCCAGTTCCATCCCAGTTCCATTCCCAGTTCCATCCCAGTTCCATCCCAGTTCCATCCCAGTTCCATCCCAGTACATTCCCAGTTCCATCCCAGTTCCATCCCAGTTCCATCCCAGTTCAATCCAGTTCAATCCCAGTTGCATCCCAGTTCAATCCCAGTTCCATCCCAGTTCCATCCCTGTTCCATCCAGTTCCATCCCAGTTCCATCCCAGTTGCTCCCATTAAGATCACATTTAATAGGAAGCTGAACTTTATGTGCACCAACAGTTTTCAGGAAGAAAACTTTCCAGACTGAAATTCTCCATCTGTGGAAAACAGACTTTATATTTTGTGCTGATTGATGTTCAGCCAGTCCTGCTATCATGGATCAATACCAATATTGATCGATTCATTGAAGTCATTCAGATCAAACTGTTTCTGTAAATCAGAATCTGACCTCTGACCTCCAGCTGCACATCGAAGGCATTCCCATCTAACTTTCCTCAGGCTCTGATGTCACTTTGGTTCTGAAAGTCCATTTTAATTCCCGACCAGAACCACTGAAACATTCTAACAACACGTCATAATAACATGTTCTGGTTCTGCTGGTTTGGACTCTATAAACCAGTTTTACTGATCAAATATTAAACATCAGTTCATCATGTTTCACTTTAACATTCAGTGAAATTAATTTTCTACATTTTATTATTAATTTGTTGATATTTCAGTTTTAACCTGCATCCTGTTGGTTCAGCTCACATCTTTTATTCTTTATCCAGGTTGAAGGACTGCAGTTTATCAGAGATCAGCTGTTCTTCTCTGGTCTCAGCTCTGACCTTTAACCCCTCCCATCTGACTAAACTGGAGCTGAACTGGAACAACCTGATAGGATCTGGAGTGAAGGAGTTCTGTGGTTTCCTCCAGAACCCAGAATGTAAACTACAGCGATTACAGTAAGTCTCCATGTTTTAGTTTATTGCTGATGTTTGTGATGTGAATAAACATCAGTATTGGGATGAATCCTGATGTTTTAGAGCTGCTCTCATGTTAAAGTGGAAACAGGAAAACAAAGACATGAAGCTGCCACCTGCAGCCTCATCCTCAAATTCCCTGATTCATTTTCATCAGACATGAGAAAAACTCTGGTTCCCCCCAGTGCATTATCAGCCTGGCGGGCCACCAGGTGTTTCCCAGTGCATTATCAGCCTGGCGGGCCACCAGGTTTCCCGTAGTGCATTATCAGCCTGGCGGGCCACCAGGTTTCCCCCAGTGCATCATCAGCCTGGTGGGCCACCAGGTTTTTCCCAGTGCAGTATCAGCCTGGCGGGCCACCAGGTTTCCCCAGTGCATTATCAGCCTGACGGGCCACCAGGCTTTCCTTCTGATGAAATTATTAAGGCTGCATTGATTACAGTTTCCTGTCCCGTTACCAGATTATTTATTTTTTGACTGGCCTTCCTTTTGTGGTTGATATTTCTTGTCTGAAATGTCCCAAAGTGTGTGAAGAAGCTGCTAAGTTGCTAACAGTGGCACTATTGCTAGCTGCAGATGTTCAGACATGGAGCTGGAAGACGGCGCCTTCCTTCGGTCTCTGCAGTCGGGTTCAGGGAAGCAAAACCACCCAGATCAATCCTGGTAAAGTCCCTGATCGTGAGCCGGACCGCAGTCGGGATGAACAGCTTCCTGAGTTCAGTGGATCCCTCCAGACTGGGGAGGATGGACAACAGATAAAACCTGGAGAGGTTTCACTCTCCAGGCCGACTCACATGGTGGCCTAAAGCATAAAATGTGTTGGCTTTAATTCAGGCTTGGACAGTAAAGTTCATGGGTTGGATGAGACGGATCCGACCAGCGTAGATTTGTCCTCTGGATGCGACCAGGAGGAAGTTGTGAGGCGCAGGTGAAGCGTCATCATTCCAGTGAAGTCCTTTCATTTCAGAAGTTATTTGCTCCAGTCAGTGATTTTGTATTTAGTCGTTTTTCACAGTGAGACACAGTTAGATACGTTCATCTTTATTTATGCTGGGATCTGCATTTGCAGCTCAATCAGTTGGTTATTAACTGAACTGCATAAAAATTGCAGCTAAATATCAATTTGAATTTGAAATTTCTGAACATTTTTAACTTTTGAATCTCTGATTCTGATTATAGATTTTTTTCTATAAAAGGTCAACAGTTTATGTGTTGCCAAACTGCTGTTGTCCGTCTGGTTCTCCTCCAGGGAGAACCTCAGCCTCTCGGGCCGACCAGGTCCGGTCTGGTTCTGCTGGGTTTGATCTTTGTTGATCCTGATTCCCAGCTTGTGATCAGGAAGACGAGTTTCTCAGAGCTACAGATGATCATATTTAGCATGAAATACGAATCCAGTACCGAACGTCTCTGGCTTATTGTTGGTAAAGAAGCTTATTAGAGCGTTTTAACAACTGACTGGCACACTACTGCCACCAAGTGGTGGAAACTGAGCGCCTGCATTCTGATGCTGCATCATGATTTCTGTAAACTTTATCACAGGTAAAAACCTGGGGGTTTCCTGCAGCCCTCTAGGTGGCGCTGGTGGCCCAACTGTGGTTAAGAATGGCTGTTCTAACTGGTTCTGTTGCTCTAACTGGTTCTGTTGTTTTAACTGGTTCTGTTCTAACTGGTTCTGTTGCTCTAACTGGTTCTGTTGTTCTAACTGGTTCTGCTGTTCTAACTGGTTCTGTTGTTCTAACTGGTTCTGTTGCTCTAACTGGTTCTGTTGCTCTAACTGGTTCTGTTGTTCTAACTGGTTCTGTTGTTCTAACTGGTTCTGTTGCTCTAACTGGTTCTGTTGTTCTAACTGGTTCTGTTGCTTTAACTGGTTCTGCTGTTCTAACTGGTTCTGTTGCTCTAACTGGTTCTGTTGTTCTAACTGGTTCTGTTGCTCTAACTGGTTCTGTTGTTCTAACTGGTTCTGTTGCTCTAACTGGTTCTGTTGTTCTAACTGGTTCTGTTGCTCTAACTGGTTCTGTTCTAACTGGTTCTGTTGTTCTAACTGGTTCTGTTGCTCTAACTGGTTCTGTTGTTCTAACTGGTTCTGATGTTCTAACTGGTTCTGTTGCTCTAACTGGTTCTGATGTTCTAACTGGTTCTGTTGCTCTAACTGGTTCTGTTGGTCTAACTGGTTCTGTTGCTCTAACTGGTTCTGATGTTCTAACTGGTTCTGTTGCTCTAACTGGTTCTGATGTTCTAACTGGTTCTGTTGCTCTAACTGGTTCTGTTGGTCTAACTGGTTCTGTTGTTCTAACTGGTTGTGTTGTTTTAACTGGTTCTGTTGTTCTAACTGGTTCTGTTCTAACTGGTTCTGTTGCTCTAACTGGTTCTGTTGCTCTAACTGGTTCTGTTGTTCTAACTGGTTCTGTTGCTCTAACTGGTTCTGTTGTTCTAACTGGTTCTGTTGCTCTAACTGGTTCTGTTGCTCTAACTGGTTCTGTTGTTCTAACTGGTTCTGTTGGACCGGTGGCTTCAGCTCATATCTTTGGTTCTTTATTCAGATTCAGCCGCTGCAGCTTGTCAAAGATCAGCTGTGATGATCCGGCCTCAGCTCTGACCTCCGACCCGTCAGGTCAACCTGGACTGCAGCTGAGCAGCAACAACAGCTACTACAACCTGGGAGATGATGGACTGAAGGAGATCTGTGATATTCTGCAGGATCCTGGATGCAGAATACAACGACTGCAGTAAGAAACAGTGTCTTGAGTCATTGTTGATATTTCTGATGTAAAGTCGTTTCCAGAGATCAGTCCAGATGTTTCTGAGCTGCTCTCCTGTAAAAGAGGCTGCAGGGAGGAAACAGGAAGTGGAAAATCACAGAATAAGAGCAAAATGCTGATGCTGCAACTTCAGATTTACTGATTGTTTCTCTTTCTTTAGAAATTAAATCTCTTAAAGAGGAATAATAACATTTTATGTATTCATGTCATTTATTTGAATGTTTTTAATCTTTAGCTTCTGGAATCTATGGAAGCTCAAAGGTGGCAAAATTAAATGAATAAATGTGCCATGAAATACATATTGGTAAATCTCTCTTGAATAAATTAAATGAGCCATGAAGCCAATAACTCATTTAATTTTGCTCTAAATAGTTGAATATATGATGAGACATGCCATGAACAGCAGCTGATCTCAGGAGATTCTGTGACCATCGTGTTCTGATGGCTCTTGTTTGTCTCCAACATGTTCATGTCGATAATTGCTCGCTAGCGCCCCCTGTGGTCACATGGTGCACCACCTGGTCCAGGTGTGTGACGTTGTGGTGGAAAACCTTTCAGTCAGTCTGCAGTCGATGTCTAGAAATAACTCCAACGACTTTCTAAACTTTCTGATTCATCTGCTACAAACTGCTGAGCAACAGAGCAACTACAAAGCAACAGAACCAGTAAGCTACCAGTAAACTACCAGTAAGCTACCAGTAAGCTAAAAGTAAGCTACCAGTAAACTACCAGTAAACTACCAGTAAGCTACCAGTAAACTACCAGTAAGCTACCAGTAAGCTACCAGTAAACTACCAGTAAACTACCAGTAAGCTACCAGTAAACTACCAGTAAACTACCAGTAAGCTACCAGTAAACTACCAGTAAACTACCAGTAAACTACCAGTAAACTACCAGTAAGCTACCAGTAAGCTACCAGTAAACTACCAGTAAACTACCAGTAAGCTACCAGTAAGCTACCAGTAAGTTAAAAGTAAGCTACCAGTAAACTACCAGTAAACTACCAGTAAGCTACCAGTAAACTACCAGTAAACTACCAGTAAACTACCAGTAAACTACCAGTAAGCTACCAGTAAACTACCAGTAAACTACCAGTAAGCTACCAGTAAACTACCAGTAAGTTAAAAGTAAGCTACCAGTAAACTACCAGTAAACTACCAGTAAGCTACCAGTAAGCTACCAGTAAGCTACCAGTAAACTACCAGTAAGCTACCAGTAAACTACCAGTAAACTACCAGTAAACTACCAGTAAGCTACCAGTAAACTACCAGTAAACTACCAGTAAGCTACCAGTAAACTACCAGTAAACTACCAGTAAACTACCAGTAAACTACCAGTAAGCTACCAGTAAGTTAAAAGTAAGCTACCAGTAAACTACCAGTAAGCTACCAGTAAACTACCAGTAAACTACCAGTAAACTACCAGTAAACTACCAGTAAACTACCAGTAAGCTACCAGTAAACTACCAGTAAGCTACCAGTAAGTTAAAAGTAAGCTACCAGTAAACTACCAGTAAGCTACCAGTAAACTACCAGTAAGCTACCAGTAAACTACCAGTAAGCTACCAGTAAGCTACCAGTAAACTACCAGTAAACTACCAGTAAGCTACCAGTAAACTACCAGTAAGCTACCAGTAAACTACCAGTAAGCTACCAGTAAACTACCAGTAAGCTACCAGTAAGCTACCAGTAAACTACCAGTAAACTACCAGTAAGCTACCAGTAAACTACCAGTAAACTACCAGTAAGCTACCAGTAAACTACCAGTAAGCTACCAGTAAGTTAAAAGTAAGCTACCAGTAAACTACCAGTAAACTACCAGTAAGCTACCAGTAAACTACCAGTAAGCTACCAGTAAACTACCAGTAAACTGCTAGTAAACTACCAGTAAACTACCAGTAAGCTACCAGTAAAGTACCAGTAAGCTACCAGTAAGCTACTAGTAAACTACCAGTAAAGTACCAGTAAGCTACCAGTAAACTTCCAGTAAACTACCAGTAAGCTACCAGTAAACTACCAGTAAACTACCAGTAAACTACCAGTAAACTACCAGTAAACTACCAGTAAGCTACCAGTAAGCTAAAAGTAAGCTACCAGTAAACTACCAGTAAGCTACCAGTAAACTACCAGTAAACTACCAGTAAACTACCAGTAAGCTACCAGTAAACTACCAGTAAACTACCAGTAAGCTACCAGTAAACTACCAGTAAACTACCAGTAAACTACCAGTAAGCTACCAGTAAACTACCAGTAAGCTACCAGTAAGTTAAAAGTAAGCTACCAGTAAACTACCAGTAAGCTACCAGTAAACTACCAGTAAGCTACCAGTAAACTACCAGTAAGCTACCAGTAAGCTACCAGTAAACTACCAGTAAACTACCAGTAAGCTACCAGTAAACTACCAGTAAGCTACCAGTAAACTACCAGTAAGCTACCAGTAAGCTACCAGTAAACTACCAGTAAGCTACCAGTAAACTACCAGTAAACTACCAGTAAGCTACCAGTAAACTACCAGTAAGCTACCAGTAAGTTAAAAGTAAGCTACCAGTAAACTACCAGTAAACTACCAGTAAGCTACCAGTAAACTACCAGTAAGCTACCAGTAAACTACCAGTAAACTACTAGTAAACTACCAGTAAACTACCAGTAAGCTACCAGTAAACTACCAGTAAGCTACCAGTAAGCTACCAGTAAACTACCAGTAAGCTACCAGTAAACTACCAGTAAACTACCAGTAAGCTACCAGTAAGCTAAAAGTAAGCTACCAGTAAACTACCAGTAAACTACCAGTAAGCTACCAGTAAGCTACCAGTAAACTACCAGTAAGCTACCAGTAAACTACCAGTAAACTACTAGTAAACTACCAGTAAACTACCAGTAAACTACCAGTAAGCTACCAGTAAACTGCTAGTAAACTACCAGTAAACTACCAGTAAACTACCAGTAAGCTACCAGTAAACTACCAGTAAACTACCAACAACTGTAATAATCAGAGCTGTGGGAATAAAACCAGATTAATGCTGAGATTTCTCAGCCTTTCTGTTTTTCTCCTGGATAAAATCTAAATATCTGCAGACATCATGCAGACTCTGAGCTTCCTGTCAGCAGCTCAGTGAGCTCACTTCCTGCCTCAGAGGTCAGAGGTGAGGATGGAGGGATGAAACTAGAGTGAAGGAGGAGAAACTGCCGTCCAGTGGAAACTCTGTCAGGATGTTGGAGTGAAGCAGAGCGAGGAGAATCCTGGAGGTCAGAGTAGCAGAGGAGGAGAAGGTCATCAGTTCTGTTCCCAGAGGGCAGGAGGTCAGCTGGAGGTCAGCTGGAGGTCAGCTGGAGGTCAACTGGAGGTCATCTGGAGGTCAACTGGAGGTCATCTGGAGGTCAGTTGGAGGTCTGCTGGATGTCAGCTGGAGGTCAGCTGAAGGTCAGCAGGATGTCATCTGGAGGTCAGTTGGAGGTCATCTTAAGGTCAGTTGGAGGTCAGCTGGAGGTCAGCTGGAGGTCATCTGGAGGTCAGCTGAAGGTCAGTTGGAGGTCATCTGGAGGTCAGTTGGAGGTCAACTGGAGGTCATCTGGAGGTCAGCTGGAGGTCATCTGGAGGTCAACTGGAGGTCATCTGGAGGTCAGCTGAAGGTCAGCTGGAGGTCATCTGGAGGTCAGCTGAAGGTCAGCTGGAGGTCAGCTGGAGGTCAACTGGAGGTCACCAGGTGGAGCCACAGAGAGCTGAGAGCTTCTGACCAGAGAAACTGACCAGAGATCAGTCCTGATGGTTCAGAGGAAATGCTGCAGGAGGAAACAGGAAGCAGTAAAGTGTCAAAATAAGAGCCCAGGCTGCATCTGCAGATTGACAGAGAGAAGAAATGAATAATGAACATTCATGGTTTTAATCTGGAACTTCAGCTTGTAGAATCTGACAGCAGCAGATCTATAATCAGTGATTGATGCTTCTGCAGTAAAACCCTCCCACTCATCATGACCCAGTACCAGGTTCTGGTTCTGGTTCTGGTTCTGGTCCTAAAGTCACTGTGACAGTGAATCTTCATGGCTGATGAAAAATGAAACGGTTGAATTTCTGAGCATTGATCTCCATCAGCTGGTTTTTCCTCCTGGTTTCTGGTTTTGTGTGAAACTTGGATGATTTGCTGCAGCAGTTTGTTGCTGCAGCTGCTGCAGGAGCTGCTGCAGCTTCAGAGATGAAGTCAGAAGGTCTTGGTTGAAGCAGCAGCAGCTTCATGTTGGCATCAATATTCATTCATCTGGTTCTGTTGGACTGGTTCACCTGCATCCTGCTGGTTCAGCTCACAGCTTTTATTCTTTATCCAGGTTGAAGAGCTGCAGTTTGTCAGAGATCAGCTGTTCTTCTCTGGTCTCAGCTCTGACCTTTAACCCCTCCCATCTGAATGAACTGGACCTGAGCTGGAACAACCTGAAGGATCCTGGAGTGAAGCAGCTCTGTGTTTTCCTCCAGAACCCAGAATGTAAACTACAGCGATTACAGTAAGTCTCCATGTTTTAGTTTATTGATGATGTTTTGTTGCCACCAACCTGCAGACATTTCATAGTAAGAATCCAGTTTATTAATAATAATAAAGAACAAACATGATTTAGTTTTGGGTTTCCTGCAGTCCCATTATGACCAAAATACAGAGCAGAACCAGTAAACTACCAGTAGACTATCAGTAAACTACCAGTTAACTACCAGTTAACTACCAGTAAACTATCAGTAAACTACCAACAACTGTAATAATCAGAGCTGTGGGAATAAATCCAGATTAATGCTGAGATTTCTCAGCCTCTCTGTTTTTCTCCTGGATAAAATCTAAATATCTGCAGACATCATGCAGACTCTGAGCTTCCTGTCAGCAGCTCAGTGAGCTCACTTCCTGCCTCAGAGGTCAGAGGTGAGGATGGAGGGATGAAACTAGAGTGAAGGAGGAGAAACTGCCGTCCAGTGGAAACTCTGTCAGGATGTTGGAGTGAAGCAGAGCGAGGAGAATCCTGGAGGTCAGAGTAGCAGAGGAGGAGAAGATCATCAGTTCTGTTCCCAGAGGGCAGGAGGTCAGCTGGAGGTCATCTGGAGGTCATCTGAAGGTCAGTTGGAGGTCTGCTGGATGTCAGCTGGAGGTCAGCTGAAGGTCAGCAGGATGTCATCTGGAGGTCATCTAGAGGTCAGCAGGAGGTCAGCTGGAGGTCAGTTGGAGGTCATCTTAAGGTCAGTTGGAGGTCAGCTGGAGGTCAGCTGGAGGTCAGCAGGAGGTCAGCTGGAGGTCAGCAGGAGGTCAGCTGAAGGTCATCTGGGGGTCAGCTGAAGGTCAGTTGGAGGTCATCTGGAGGTCAGTTGGAGGTCAGCTGGAGGTCATCTGGAGGTCAGTTGGAGGTCATCTGGAGGTCAGTTGGAGGTCAGCTGGAGGTCATCTGGAGGTCAGCTGGAGGTCATCTGGAGGTCAACTGGAGGTCATCTGGAGGTCAGTTGGAGGTCTGCTGGATGTCAGCTGGAGGTCAGCTGAAGGTCAGCAGGATGTCATCTGGAGGTCATCTAGAGGTCAGCAGGAGGTCAGCTGGAGGTCAGTTGGAGGTCATCTTAAGGTCAGTTGGAGGTCAGCTGGAGGTCAGCTGGAGGTCATCTGGAGGTCAGCTGAAGGTCAGTTGGAGGTCATCTGGAGGTCAGTTGGAGGTCAGCTGGAGGTCATCTGGAGGTCAGCTGGAGGTCATCTGGAGGTCAGTTGGAGGTCAGCTGGAGGTCAGCTGGAGGTCATCTGGAGGTCAGCTGAAGGTCAGCTGGAGGTCATCTGGAGGTCAGCTGAAGGTCAGCTGGAGGTCACCAGGTGGAGCCACAGAGAGCTGAGAGCTTCTGACCAGAGAAACTGACCAGAGATCAGTCCTGATGTTCAGAGGAAAGGCTGCAGGAGGAAACAGGAAGCAGTAAACTGTCAAAATAAGAGCCCAGGCTGCATCTGCAGATTGACAGAGAGAAGAAATGAATAATGAACATTCATGGTTTTAATCTGGAACTTCAGCTTGTAGAATCTGACAGCAGCAGATCTATAATCAGTGATTGATGCTTCTGCAGTAAAACCCTCCCACTCATCATGACCCAGTACCAGGTTCTGGTTCTGGTTCTGGTTCTGGTCCTAAAGTCACTGTGACAGTGAATCTTCATGGCTGATGAAAAATGAAACGGTTGAATTTCTGAGCATTGATCTCCATCAGCTGGTTTTTCCTCCTGGTTTCTGGTTTTGTGTGAAACTTGGATGATTTGCTGCAGCAGTTTGTTGCTGCAGCTTCAGAGATGAAGTCAGAAGGTCTTGGTTGAAGCAGCAGCAGCTTCATGTTGGCATCAATATTCATTCATGTGGTTCTGTTGGACTGGTTCACCTGCATCCTGCTGGTTCAGCTCACAGCTTTTATTCTTTATCCAGGTTGAAGAGCTGCAGTTTGTCAGAGATCAGCTGTTCTTCTCTGGTCTCAGCTCTGACCTTTAACCCCTCCCATCTGAATGAACTGGACCTGAGCTGGAACAACCTGAAGGATCCTGGAGTGAAGCAGCTCTGTGTTTTCCTCCAGAACCCAGAATGTAAACTACAGCGATTACAGTAAGTCTCCATGTTTTAGTTTATTGATGATGTTTTGTTGCCACCAACCTGCAGACATTTCATAGTAAGAATCCAGTTTATTAATAATAATAAAGAACAAACATGATTTAGTTTTGGGTTTCCTTCAGTCCCATTATGACCAAAATACAGAGCAGAACCAGTAAACTACCAGTAGACTATCAGTAAACTACCAGTTAACTACCAGTTAACTACCAGTAAACTATCAGTTAACTACCAGTAAACTACCAGTTAACTACCAGTAAACTACCAGTAAACTACCAGTTAACTACCAGTTAACTATCAGTAACTACCAGTAAACTACCAACAACTGTAATAATCAGAGCTGTGGGAATAAATCCAGATTAATGCTGAGATTTCTCAGCCTTTCTGTTTTTCTCCTGGATAAAATCTAAATATCTGCAGACATCATGCAGACTCTGAGCTTCCTGTCAGCAGCTCAGTGAGCTCACTTCCTGCCTCAGAGGTCAGAGGTGAGGATGGAGGGATGAAACTAGAGTGAAGGAGGAGAAACTGCCGTCCAGTGGAAACTCTGTCAGGATGTTGGAGTGAAGCAGAGCGAGGAGAATCCTGGAGGTCAGAGTAGCAGAGGAGGAGAAGGTCATCAGTTCTGTTTCCAGAGGGCAGGAGGTCAGCTGGAGGTCATCTGGAGGTCATCTGAAGGTCAGTTGGAGGTCTGCTGGATGTCAGCTGGAGGTCAGCTGAAGGTCAGCAGGATGTCATCTGGAGGTCATCTAGAGGTCAGCAGGAGGTCAGCTGGAGGTCAGTTGGAGGTCATCTTAAGGTCAGTTGGAGGTCAGCAGGAGGTCAGCTGGAGGTCATCTGGAGGTCAGCTGGAGGTCAGCTGGAGGTCATCTGGAGGTCAGCTGAAGGTCATCTGGAGGTCAGCTGAAGGTCAGTTGGAGGTCATCTGGAGGTCAGTTGGAGGTCAGCTGGAGGTCATCTGGAGGTCAGTTGGAGGTCAGCTGGAGGTCATCTGGAGGTCAGCTGGAGGTCATCTGGAGGTCAACTGGAGGTCATCTGGAGGTCAGTTGGAGGTCTGCTGGATGTCAGCTGGAGGTCAGCTGAAGGTCAGCAGGATGTCATCTGGAGGTCATCTAGAGGTCAGCAGGAGGTCAGCTGGAGGTCAGTTGGAGGTCATCTTAAGGTCAGTTGGAGGTCAGCTGGAGGTCAGCTGGAGGTCATCTGGAGGTCAGCTGAAGGTCAGTTGGAGGTCATCTGGAGGTCAGTTGGAGGTCAGCTGGAGGTCATCTGGAGGTCAGCTGGAGGTCATCTGGAGGTCAGTTGGAGGTCAGCTGGAGGTCAGCTGGAGGTCAGCTGGAGGTCATCTGGAGGTCAGCTGGAGGTCATCTGGAGGTCAGTTGGAGGTCAGCTGGAGGTCACCAGGTGGAGCCACAGAGAGCTGAGAGCTTCTGACCAGAGAAACTGACCAGAGATCAGTCCTGATGGTTCAGAGGAAATGCTGCAGGAGGAAACAGGAAGCAGTAAAGTGTCAAAATAAGAGCCCAGGCTGCATCTGCAGATTGACAGAGAGAAGAAATGAATAATGAACATTCATGGTTTTAATCTGGAACTTCAGCTTGTAGAATCTGACAGCAGCAGATCTATAATCAGTGATTGATGC